TTGTTACATCTCTTGTTTGCTTGCGTGCTAGTTGATATTGCATCATATAGGTTGCTCACTTAGTTGCACATCTAGACAACCTTTTTGTTGCAAAGTTTAATTTGGTAAAGAAAAGGTTAAAAAATTGTTAGTTGCCTATTCACCCCCCCTCTAGTCAACCATATCGATCCTTTCACACATAATGAGGTACTTTCTTGTTTTCATACCCAGGTGGTTGCCTTATGTCAACCTCCTCTTCCAGAACACCATGCAAGAACACGTTCTTAACATCTAGCTGTCTCAAGCTCCATCTCTTGGAAAATGCAATAGCTAACACAAGTCTAATAGTTGCGGCCTTAACAACGGGACTGAAAGTATCTTCGTAATCTAGACCATAACGTTGCTTAAAGCCTTTTGCAACTAGACATGCTTTATATCTGTCAATTGAACCATCTGCCTTCTTCTTGATTCTGTAAACCCATTTACAATCAATGACATTTTTACCTCTTTGCTCAGGCACAAGATGCCAAGTTTTATTACTCATGAGTGCCACGTATTCTTCATCCATTGCATTTTTCCACTTTGGATCTCCCAGTGCATCCTCCAATCTTGTCGGTTCCCCTGTAACACACAACATGCCATATCGTATAGTGCCATCAGTTCTGATTTTCGGATTGCTTATACCTTTTTGTAGTCGAGTTGTGACACGTGAAGCAGGTTGCGGCTGAGTTATGTGACGTGTATGCCTCTGCACAGAAGATGATGTAGACGAATCTGCCGCAGAGGATCCTGATGGCATCCTGGAACCACTTTGCACAACTGATCCTAGATCAGACTCTGCGGCATGCTGTGTGGCTGAAGACGTGACTGCACCTGACTCGGTTGCCACAGAAGATCCCGCGCTGATCTATGGATGCATGTAGGGCGGAGATCCCAAGCCAGGCGACGCGGTTTCTGCCGCTGTCGCTTTCACTGACCCGCGCGTGAGCCGCGAGGCGGACCCAGCAGGTGACGACATGGCAACGCCCGACTGGCGCAGACGGATCCTGTCCAGCGCGCGATCCAGGGCTGATCCGCGCGCCCGATCCGAGGAATCCTAGCGCACAGGAGTTCCAGGTGACACCGGATTGTCCTCGTGTTCAGCACCAACTTCGTCTTCTTCTAACCCATGAAATATAGGTTCATTTTCACCAAAATTTGGATCATTTTCTGCCCGATTTCTGCTGCGTCTTCTGCAATGTCCTGCACAGGAGTAGATACAACACTGGTACTGATAGGATCATCAGTTGGATTAGTGCAATTGTCGCCCCCTTGATCTAAGTTTTGGAGATTGGGTGGAAGGAGAAGAATTTCTTTTCTAAGGAGTGCTCCGGCATTTGGATGAAGGGACTCAAAAGGTTATACGGATTCATCAAACACGACATCTCGAGAGATATATACCCTACCGGTGGAAACATCTAGGCACTTGACTCCTTTATGGATGGGACTATACCCAAGGAAGACACACTTCTTAGAGCGAAAAGCAAGTTTACGTGTATTATATGGACGAAGGTTGGGCCAGCAAGCACAACCAAACACACGTAGTGATTTATAATCAGGGGTAGTGCCAAAAAGACGTGTGAGAGGAATCTCATAGTTGATAACTTTGCTAGGAAGTAGATTTATAAGATAGGTGGCAGTCAAGAAGGCTTCATCCCAGAACTTTAATGGCATCTATGCATTTGCTAGTAAGGCTAGCCCTACTTCAACAACATGATGGTGTTTCCTTTCAGCGGAACCGTTCTGTTGATGTGCATGAGGACATGACATATGGTCTGAGATACCAAGTTCCTGAAAAAACAAGTTAAGCTTCTTGTATTCACCTCCCCAGTCAGTCTGCATAGCGATGATCTCAGTGTTTAGTTTTCGTTCAACGAGATTTTGAAAATTCTCGAAAATTTGAAACACTTCAGATCGTTTCTTAAGAAGATAGATCCAGGTAAATTTGTTGTAGTCATCAATGAAGCTTACATAGTATGAGTGTCTACCAACAGAGGTAGGAGCTGGCCCCCAAACATCTGAAAATACAAGCTGTAGGGGGGCAGAGGAAATGCTGATAGAAATAGGATATGGTAGCTGATGACTTTTAGCTTGTTGACAAGGATCACAAACAGACTCAGTGCTAGACTCAAGACAATGGGGAAGTTTATTTCTACTAAGAACAAGCTTAACAATAACTGACGACGGATGACATAATATACCGTGCCACTTTGCTGAAGAAGGCTTGATCGCAACAAAGGCTTGTTTATTCGATGATGTTGATGAAGATATGATTGGGTAAAGACCTCCCACGCACTTGCCCCTAAGAAGTACCCTCCTCATGTCCAAGTCCTTAACCAAGAAAAAATAAGGATGAAACTCAATGAGAACACGATTATCAAGGGTAAATCTATGGACAGAAAGAAGACTTTTTGATGTTTCGGGCACATGTAGAATTATATTTAGATGAAAAAAATTGTGGGGGTTTTAACAATTGAACTACCAACATGAGTAATATCCATACCAGAACCACTTGCGGTGTGTACTTGGTCTCCTCCATGATACTTGTCTTGAATCGTCAGCTTGTCGAGCTCCCCCGTGATGTGGTTTGTAGCCCCGGTATCCGCATACCAATTTGTGTCGACACCGTAGGAGTCAGTGACCATGTTGGCCCCCTTCTCCTCCTGTTCGTCTTCATCGTACCTGTGCCAACAGTCACGAGCACCTCCTGGATGGTGCTTGTAACATATCTGGCATTCTGGATAGTTCCGGATTGTTGCTGACGCTGCTGTTGTGGACGACCACGGGCGCCGCCGCCGTTGTTGCCGCCAGATGGAGTTGGGGAAGGGCGCCTGCCTCGGCCGCGGCCCCTGTTGCTGCGTCCGCGTCCTCTGCCATAGCCGCGCCCGCACCCTCTGTATACCATATTGGCAGAAGTTTTGAAGCCGGCTTCAGGACCATCGCCGAGCATCTCCATGCGCTGATCGAACGCCGCAATATGAGCGAATAGATCGTCCACAAAGATTTGGTTCTTTACCGCACCGATCGCTGCCACAACAGGGTCATAATCTCTGTCGAGGCCGGCAAAAACATAGTCCACCATCTCCGGGTCCGAGACGGGGCGACCTGCCGCTGCAAGCTCATCTCCCAAGCTCTTCATCTTGGAGATAAAGGCGTTGCTGGACATGGAGCCTTTCTTTGTGTTGGCGATGGCGATGCGTAGGTTGGTGATGCGCGATTGGGACTGCGAGGCGAACAGGGTAGTGATGGCAGTCCAGAGATCGAACATCGTCTCCTTGCTCGCAACTTGGGCGAGGATCTCCATTGACAGAGAATTCAGGAGATGGCTCAGAACTTGCTGATCTTTTGATATCCACTGCGCATACAGAGGATTGGGTTCTGGGGCGGTGGTTTTGTCCGCATGCTGCTGCTGCACCGTCTTTGGTGGCGCTGCATCTGATCCGTCCAGGAGGCCGGTGACCTGCGCTCCTCGCAAGCCCAGCATGACCTGTGCCTTCCATAGGATGAAGTTGGTCTTGGTGAGCTTCTCAGATGGGAGAGCACCAAGGTTGAGGGAAATGGTGGATGAGGACGCCATGGCGAGGGTAGTCGAGGAAGGAGGTTGCTGGCTAGATCGATGGAAAGAGGATGGCTCTGTATACCATGTCAGGTGGAAGTGTTCCTACTCCCTCGTGAGGGAGCCGTGTGTCTATATATTGATTGGGGCAGGAAACACCCCTGCCGTGGCTTACAAGATTGCTCCGATCTCTTTGGGATTTAGTAGTTACATAGGAGATAGAAAGAGCTACGAGAGGGGAAGAGATAGAGTTAGTTTGAGATTACAACAGGAATATATCTCTAAGTCTAACAACAACCAGCACCTCCTCGAGGACGTCCTAGCCATGCACCGTGAGCTACAGCAATCGGCGGAGCCCCTTTGACCAGGAGTGCCGGACGCCCTCACCTGGAAAATTTCGAGCTCGGGGACGTACTCGGCCAGGTCCGCCTACCAGGCGCAGTTTCAGGGCAGGACGGCGACCCACCTCGACCAACTGGTCTGGAAAGCTTGGGTGCCCGGGAAGATCAAGATCTTTGCATGGCTGCTGCTCCAGGATCGGCTTTGGTGTAATGACAGGCTACAGTGGCGGGGTTGGATGAACAACTACTTCTGCCAGCTCTGCGCCAGGAACCTGAAATCCTCGGGCCACCTGTTCTGGCACTGCCCGGAGTCCAGTCGCGTTTGGAACAAGATCGGGCAATGGCACGGCTACTCCGCGCTCTCCCCTGCGGACTGCTGGAGCCACGGAAACTCCACCATGATCATCCAGAGCACCTTGCCCCCCCCCCCTCCCCCATGGTGGCAAGGGGCGTGATCAATCTTGCTGCTGGCTTGTTGGGAAATTTGGCAGGAGAAAAACCAATGCACTTTCCAGGAGAGCCTACCGCGTACAAGGGACATCATCAGACGCATCAGAGACAACATCGAGCTCTGGAGAATCACAGGAGCGACGTGCATCGAGAGCCCCTTCGGGGAACTCCCATGAGGCATAATAATTTTGCTGTTCTAGGGTTTTGTCCGTCTGTGGCAAACCCTACGCACTGATCCTAGGATCTTCACTACTTTTATCGTTTCCCACTGCTTCCTGCTATAATCAATAAAAATGCCAGCAACTGCTGGCTCTTTCAAATAAAAACATGCAGGAGAATCGTCGTTGCATGCATCAGCTCTTACGGCCGCGGCGTTATGTGTTGCCAATAGTCCGGACCCGGAGAACTCGTAAGCATGCAAAACTGACTGACTAAAATATTATATTCAGTCGATTGACATCTAGTCGCTCCCTTATCTTGTGTTTATTACTACCTCGCTGCAGGAACATCAGAAATATTACCGGCTTCCGTGGACGGCAGAAAAGAGTGCGAGTGAACCACCTGGTTTTGCCTGAGCGCTAGCACGTCGACACTTACGTGCTCTACCGACACCTCCGGGAGCCGCGCGTCACCGCTCAGGAACTGCATGATCTGCCGAATGCCCGGGCGCGCGCTGGGCAGAGGGTGCGAGCACAGCAAGCACAGCTTCAGAACGAAGCTCGCTTCTTCGGCAGGGAGTCGCCCCGGAGCCGCGGGTCCACGGCGTCGGTGATCGCTCCTTCGCGCCAGTGCTCGATCACCCTGTCCGCCAGCAGGAGGTGGTCGCCGTGCTCGTCCTGGGAGACGGGCCGCCGCCCGCACGCGACCTCCAGCATGAACACGCCGAACGAGAAGATGTCGGACGCCTTGGAGGCCCTGCCGGTGTGCCCGAGCTCCGGGGCTAGGTAGCCCATGGTGCCCACCACGTGCGTGGTGTGCGGGTCGGTGCCGTGGTCGTACAGCCTCGCGAGGCCGAAGTCGCCTAGCCGCCCGCTCATGTCGGCGTCCAGAAGCACGTTGCTCGCCTTGACGTCGCGATGCAGAACCACCTTCTCCCAGTCCTCGTGGAGGTACAGTATGCTGGAGGCGACGTCGTTGATGATCCCCAACCTCTGGCTCCAGCTCAAGACCATCGTGTTGTGGTCGTGCAGAAGCTTGTCGAGACTGCCATTTGGCATGTAGTCGTAGACTAGCAGGAGCTCGCGCTTCCGCCGGCAGTATCCGAGCAACCGGACGAGGTTCCGGTGCCGGATCTGGCCGATGCTCACCACCTCAGAGATGAACTCCTTCATTCCTTGCCTCGATTCGTGCGACACCTTCTTCACTGCAACCTCCGCCCCGGACGTCGGAAGCACGCCCTTGTACACCCTCCCGAATCCGCCGATGCCAAGCAGCCACTCGTCGGAGAACCCCTTGGTGGCGTGGAACAAATCCTTGTATGAGAAACGGTGCGGACCGAACTCCGTCTCCCAGTCCTCTTTTACCTCCGCATACCTGCGCCGCCGCCGATCAATCAGGATGACGGCGATGGCCAGTGCTAACACCAACGCCGCCGATGCTATCGGCAATAGGATATAAAGCGTCTTCGACCGGCGCTTGGGGGTCGTGAACGGCAGGGCCGGCAGTTTCTGTATGTTTAGCGGCGGGGCTTGTCCACCGTCCATCTTGAAGCTCCAGGCAAGCACGTAGTGGCGGCTCGACACGACGCCGGTGGATGACGAGAAGCCAACGTAGGCTTTGTCCTCGATCACCGACGAGAGGATCACGGTGGTGGAGAGCAGAGGCTTCTTGGGCTTGGGCAGCTCAAGGGGTGCCATGGTGACGCTGAGGAGAGAGGTGCGCGCGTCGAAGTCCACCCACACCTGCGTAGCCGTGCGGTTCAACAGGCTCATGTTCATGAACGCGCCCGTGCCGTCCTCGTAGTACCCCGCGTTGTCGGCGACGATGGATGAGAGGCCGTCGACGTCGACCCCGACGTGGTTGTTGCTCATGTCCCCGAACTCGGCGTTGACGATGGTGTCCAGCTCGACGGCCAGGAAGTGGTTGCTGGAGTTGCCGTTATTGGCCGCGTTGGCCAGGCCCATGTACTGGCTCTGGAGCGCCGTGGAGAAGTTTTTGCTCTTGGAGACGACGAAGGCCAGGCCGGGGCTGCTGAAGTCGTCGTACTCGCTGACGATGCCGAACACGAAGGCTGTCGAGAAGGAGCGCGAGGAGGCGTTGCCGTTGGCGGCCTCGTGGAACCGCACGGGGACAGGGTAGAAGGCGTGTCCTTTGAGCTGAGTCGTGCCGTTGGTGAGCATGAGGAGGCCGTCTGTGGTGACCGCGGCCGTGCCGTCGAGCGAGAGGTTCGCGCCGGCGAAGCCATCGAACGTGAACTGGTCGACGTCGACGGCCGGAGATGCGAGGGGAAGGACATGGAGAAGCAAGAAAAGGAGCAGATGAAGGACGCTCATGGTTGGTTGGCTTCCGCACCAAATGTGCCGGGAGTGTACTGATTTAATGATTTTTGACCCCGAGACTGTATTTCAACGAAGAATGGAGCCATCAGTCCAAGTGACTATAGAAGTATAGCACCTTGCTGGCAAATGATGTGGTTATCGCTGTACGAGTACGACTGGCTAATCCCGAGAGATCTTTTTATGTTAAACAGTTCAACTTGTCGCCTTAAAATTTTCGGTACTCTATGTAAAACGCGTCGCCTTAAGTTTCACTTACGCTTGCAATCATTGACTTGACCTACAGTTTTGTTTGTGAGCTTGCATGCCAAATTTTCAGAGGAGAGCACGCTATGCATGCAGATAATTTAATGCGGACCCAACTAGCTCGGATAAAGTCAGCTGGGGGTTGCCTCCAGCTAACGATTCTTTCCTAGGGAGAAGAAACAGTCCAGCCAACATTTCGTCATTTCCCTCCCTGTAAACGGTCCACGGTGACCCTCGGTTTTAAAATACCCTAAAAAAGAATTATTTTGTGTATTTCTCTATAAAAGGACATAGCTGATGATGATCATGTGTCTGTCTCTTGACCATCAGAACCATCAGATCTAAAATGAATGGTTTAGATGGCACTAAATTGAGAGCCCGACGATATTAGCCTTGTTGGAATAATTGTATACAGATAGAACTCTGGTTTAAACTTGTATTCTTTTTCTATCCTTTCTTCTGTTCCAACTCTTTCTATTGATCTTCCGTAATCGATCTATCGGTCGTTTTCATCTTGTAAGCCACGACATTGTCCATATAAATACAAGTGCGGCTGTGACGCCCCCGATTCAGTCGTACACTAATCATGCACGCAAATGTGTACGATCAAGATCAGGGACTCACGGGAAGATATCACAGCACAACTCTAAAACATAAATAAGTCATACAAGCATTATAATACAAGCCAGGGGCCTCGAGGGCTCGAATACAAGTGCTCGATCATAGACGAGTCAGCGGAAGCAACAATATCTGAGTACAGACATAAGTTAAACAAGTTTGCCTTAAGAAGGCTAGCACAAACTGGGATACAGATCGAAAGAGGCGCAGGCCTCCTGCCTGGGATCCTCCTAAACTACTCCAGGTCGTCATCAGCGGGCAGCACGTAGTAGTAGGCACCTCCGGTATAGTAGGGGTCGTCGTCGACGGTGGCGTCTGGCTCCTGGACTCCAGCATCTGGTTGCGACAACCAGAAAGAAAGGAAAAGGAAAAAAAAGGGAGGAGAAAGCAACCGTGAGTACTCATCCAAAGTACTCGCAAGCAAGGAACTACACTACATATGCATGGGTATATGTGTAAAGGGCCATATCAGTGGACTGAACTGCAGAATGCCAGAATAAGAGGGGGATAGCTAATCCTGTCGAAGACTACGCTTCTGGCAGCCTCCGTCTTGCAGCATGTAGAAGAGAGTAGACTGAAGTCCGCCAAATAGCATCTCCAAGTAGCATCTCCAGTAGCATCGCATAGCATAATCCTACCCGGCGATCCTCTCCTCGTCGCCCTGTAGAAAAGCGATCACCGGGTTGTATCTGTCACTTGAAAGGGTGTGTTTTATTAAGTATCCGGTTCTAGTTGTCATAAGGTCAAGGTACAACTCCAAGTCGTCCTGTTACCGAAGATCACGGCTATTCGAATAGATTAACTTCCCTGCAGGGGTGCACCACATTACCCAACACGCTTGATCCCATTTGGCAGGACACACTTTCCTGGGTCATGCCCGGCCGCGGAAGATCAACACGTCGCAGCCCCACCTAGGCACAACAGAGAGGCCAGCACGCCGGTCTAAACCTAAGCGCGCAGGGGTCTGGGCCCATCACCCTGAGCACAGCTGCACGTTGCGAGGGCGGCCGGAAGCAGACCTAGCCTAGTAGGCGTTCCAGTCCAATCCGGCGCGCGCCGCTCCGTCGCTGACGTCTGAAGTGCTTCGGCTGATACCACGACGTCGGGATACCCATAACTACTCCCACGTAGATGGTTAGTGCGTATAGGCTCGTAGCTGACTCAGATCAAATACCAAGATCTCGTTAAACGTGTTAAGTATCCGCGAACGCCGAACAGGGCCAGGCCCACCTGTCTCCTAGGTGGTCTCAACCTGCCCTGTCGCTCCGCCACAAAGTAACAGTCGAGGGCCGTCGGGAACCCAGGCCCACCTCTACCGGGATGGAGCCACCTGTCCTTTCAGCCCCCTCGTCAGAATCACTTGCGGGTACTCAATGAGCTGACCCGACTTTAGTCACCATCTGTATAGTATGTATGTATGTATAGTATATACCCGTGATCACCTCCCAAGTGATCACGACCCGATAGTATAGCAAGGCAGACTGACAAGAATGTAGGGCCAATGATGACAAACTAGCATCCTATACTAAGCATTTAGGATTGCAGGTAAGGTATCAACAGATGTAGCGACAATGTCAGGCTATGCATTAGAATAGGATTAACGAAAGCAGTAACATGCTACACTACTCTAATGCAAGCAGTATAGAGGTGAATAGGTGATATCTGGTGATCAAGGGGGGGGGGGCTTGCCTGGTTGCTCTGGCAAGAGAGAGGGGTCGTCAACTCCGTAGTCGATCGGGGCACCAGCAGCGGCACCGGTCTCGGTGTCTACCGGAAAGAAGTAACGGAGGGGGAACACAATAAATAACAGAGCAATCAAAGCATCACAAAGCGTAACATGGCAATACGCGGTGCTAGAGGTGACCTAACGCAGTAGGAGGTGATACTGGTGAAGGGGGGAAACATCCGGGAAAGTATCCCCTGTGTTTCGCGTTTTCGGGCAAAGGAGCCGGAGGGGGAAAGTTGCGGGTTCGATAGGTTAGGGGTGTGTGGCAGACGAATGGACCGCGCATCCGGATTCGTCTCGTCGCTCTGAGCAACTTTCACGTTGAAAATATTTTAATCCGAGTTACGGATTAAAAGATATGATTTTCTAAAGATTTTATTAATTTTTAGAATTTATTTAACTAATTAATTCTAACATTATCCAGAATAGTGCACGCTGACGTCATCATGACGTCAGCAATTGACTGGGTCAATCTGATGGTGGGACCCGGTTGTCATTGTCTAAGACTAACTAATCAGGTTTAGTTAGTCTAACTAAAATGATTAGGTTTATTAACTACAAATTAATTAAGTTAATTAACTAATATTTTAATTATTTTAATTATTTAATTATTTACTTTTTTAAAGCCTTTTTTTTAATAACGTTTCAGGGGGGTGGGGTCCCCCCGCCATAGACCCAGGGGGCCTAGCGGGCGTAACGGGCTGTGGGCACGCGCCTGAGCCCACCCGGGATGGGGGGGACGGGCGCCTGTGCGTGCGCTCGCTCACAGGGAGCGGCGGGGCGAGGCCTGAGGCCAGGGCAGCCGGCGGGGAGAGCCAGGGCACGGCCAGGCGGCGTGAGGCGCGGGGGCAATAGGCCGGATCGAGCCGGAACAGCGACCGCGGGGCCGGGGGGCGAGCTGGCGCGGCGGAAGGAGAATGAGGGCGAGGGTGCGCGGTCTCGGATGGGGTCGACACGGCCGGGGAGGCACCGGGGCGACGGGTCAACGGCGATGACCGGCGGGGCAGGAGAAGGCCTGCGGGCGCAAGCGCGCTCCCCGGGGCATGGCCACAGCTTGACCAGGGGGGGCGGGGAAGGCTGGCGCCGGCTAGTGGCGGGGCGAGGGCAGAGGTCGCGCGGCCGGAGCGACAGGGGCTCGGCCCCTGCACGGCGAGGGTGGCCAAGGCCACGGAGCAGGGCAGCGCACGAGCGGGGACGGGTGAGGCGGAGCGGACAGAGAGGAGGGAGGCGTGAGCTCACGGGGCCGGTAGGGTTTGGGCAGCGGTGCTCGGGGCGGTGGTCGGAGA